AACCCTAACCCTAACCCTAACCCTAACCCTAACCCTAACCCTAACCCTAACCCTAACCCTAACCCTAACCCTAACCCTAACCCTAACCCTAACCCCAAAGCCAAAATGTTGACTGAGCCACACTCATTGGCCTGGGCAAGGCCAATGTGACATGAATTGACCAGGCATCTTCAGCCAAGGTGCAGCCCAACCAGAATGTCATGCCAGCTCATGCTCCTGTCAAGAATGGTGCAACTCTCTGCATTTGCTCACACACAGAGCTGACCACTCAGGCTCTCAATGCTGTGCAGAAGCTGCTGCTAGGGCAGCCAGAGCTGATGTCAGAGGAGGCCTGTAGCGCCATTGTCAAACAGGGTCTGCTGCTTTTTGCACCTTCTGCTCAGCCACAGTAAGTCATTGCTGCTCTATCCTCTGCTGCTAGCCTAACCTCTGCTGCTGGTCCCTCAGCTGCTGTTGGCTCAACTTCCTTGGGTGCAGGTTCCTCAGCTGCTGGTGGCTTGAGGGCAGGCCTTTGGCCTTATGGCCCCCGCAGGCCCCCCAAGGCGGTTGCCAACGCAGCGTCCTCTCAGGCTGCAGCAGCGGCGCGGCGTGGCGCCTTGCTAGCTCTACTGGCCGCTGTGGCAAGCCGTGCGCCGCCGTGCGCTTCCTTTCTTGTCCTCCACCTCTGCCACACCCTTGCGCTTGCCCAACTTTGCGCCACTGACCAAGACGCAGAGGGAGGCGCAACAGGCCAACTTCCAGAAGCGGCAGCGCACGCCCTACAACGCTGCGGCTTTGCAGAGGCCAAGCAGCTCGGGCAGGTCAAGCTGCACAAGCAAGACGCCTTTGCTGCGCTGCGCAAGCAGCTCAAAAAGTACAAGAAGTACGCCCTGAACTTGCTACGCAAGCGGCTTGAGACGCTGTGTGGCCACGCCTGCCAGAAGACACGCCTACACCTGCGTCAAGCAGCAGCGCTGCCACGCCAGCGCAGAGGATGTTGTTGCTTCTCCCCAGCAGTGGCAACGTGTACTAGCTGTCTGCAGTCTCACGCAAGCTTGCGCCCTTGCAAAACACTTGCGCAAGGGCCCACACACGCGCAGCAGCAATGGCTGCCCGCCTGGGCGCGGCGCAGCAGAACCAAGCACAGGGCATCAACAAGGATGGCAACAGGCGCATGGCCAGTCCTTCTCCACCTTGCACTCCTCCTTATTATGTGCCTTGCCCAGCACCCCAAGTCTTTGCGCCTGCGCCTTGCCCAGGAGCGGCAGGGTTGGCGCTTGGCAAGCGGCGCGCTGCTGCAGCTGGCCCTGCGCCTTGTCCTGCTTGTCCTGCCCATCCTTGGCCCGCGCCGGCTAAACCTGGTCCTGCTGCCCGGGCTGCGCACACTGCTGCACCATCCGCTGCTGCGCCATCTGCTGCTTATCCTGATCTGCTGGGCAAGCTTACTTGCCCAACGTTGATCTGCTGCCGCGTGCCTGGCTGCCTGCGCAACAACTCCTTTGAATGAATGATTGCGCCAGCAAGGCAAGCCAAGGCAAGCCAAGGCAAGTCCCCCTGATGAGGGCATGCATGGACGCGCTCGATGAGGCGAGAGAGCGGGCCGCTGGCGCACGTGATGCGACGCGTCGTGGGCCCGGCGCGCGGCGGCTGTTGTGTGTGCTTCTCCGCGCCCTGATCGACGGTGCATGAGGCCGCCTCGCTCCGCCGCTCCCCATCCTCTGCCCGCCTGCTGCGCCGTTCGTCTCGCCCAGAGCCACTCTCGGCCCCTGTCGAGGCCCTTCTCGCCTCTTCTCGCCTCTTCTTTGCTGCTTCTCGCGGGTGCGGCAGTGCGCAGCCAGCACGCTGCACGGCCACTCCCACCATGAATACGACCACCGCCACGCTGCGCTCCCATCCATCGCCGTACGGCGCCGTCGAGTACACGTCGTCGCCCGAGACGTCGCCGCGCCGGCCCTCGGGCGCGCCGCACCTCCTCTCGGCGCAGCGCTCGCGCCCACAGCTGCGCGCAAAGGCCTCGGCGCCGGTGCTCGGCAGCGAGAGCACGGCCGCACCGCCGCCGACACCGCGCCGCACGTTCATGCCCACACCGCGGCAGCAGTCGCGCGGCGCCTCGGGCCGCTTCGACCCATCACCCTCGGCGAGCTCGTCGCAGGCGCCCACGCCGACGCAGGCGTACGCCGCCACGATGGAGGCCGCCGCTGCGTCTGCCGCACGCCCGCGCGCGCCCACCGCCAGCAGCTCACGCCCGCTCTCGGCCAACTACGCGCTGCCCAACAGCGCCGCCCTCGGCACGCCCAGCGCCTCGGCGCGGCCCAAGGTGCCCGCGCCGCACGCCACGCCGGCATCGGCAGCGTCGCTCGAGGCGCGCCGCAACGCGCGCCGCATCGCCGGCCCGCCGGTGTCGTCGACGCCCGTGCCCGGCCGGCCCACGACGCCCCTCTCGCGGCCCACGACGCCACAGGCCGCCATGCTTGGGGCTGCAGTTGACCCAACGACGCCGCTGGCGCGCCCTGCGTCGCCAGTCAAGTTCCGCGCCAAGATCACCGACGGACTCAGCTCGCGCCGCAAGCCCGAGACGCCGGGTGCGGGACGCAGCGGCACGCCGCAGCACGGACACGGCCTGGGCATCAGCGTCGGGCGTGCCAGCCCGCGGCGGCGTGCCAGCGGCGCCATCGCCGTGCCCGCGCTGGCCGGCGGCGAGGTCGACGACGAGACGGGCGAGAGCTCCTTCTTCTACGCCGACGAGGTCGAGACGGCGAGCGACGAGCGCGAGAGCGTCGTGGTGCATGTGCGGTGAGTCGTCGCGCATCTCTCGTACTCGCCTGTCACTCACACCGCTCAGGCTGCGCCCGCCGCGAGCGACGGAAAAGTGCGCCTGGGTGCCGAGCCCGCTCACCGCGGCGCTCTCGCTCGAGGCGTCGCTGGCCGCCGCGCGTGTGCAGCCAGGCGCGGCGCTGCCGTTTGCCTTCGACGGGCTGCACACGGGCTCGTCGAACCGGCCCGTGTACGTGGCCGTGGCACGGCCGCTGGTGCGCGCGGCGCTGAGCGGCTACGACGCCGTCATCTTCGCCTACGGCCAGACGGCGTCGGGCAAGACGTTTACGCTCTCGGGCGACGACGCCGGGCGCGAGCCGGGCATCATCCCGCGTGCCGTGCGCGACGTCTTCCGCGGCATCCGGCAGAGCGAGTCGACGCGCGAGTGGCTGCTGCGCGCCTCGTACCTCGAGATCCACAACGAGGTCGTCAAGGACCTGCTGTGCCCCGAGAGCGTGCCGCAGATCCGCCAGGACAGCAAAAAGGGCGGGCGCGGCACGTTTGTCGCACCGCTGCACGAGGAGGTCGTGACGACGCAGGCCGCTGTGCGGGCGCTGCTGGCACGCGGGCAGGAGAACCGGCACGTCGGCGCGACAGACTGGAACGAGCGCAGCAGCCGCAGCCACACTTGTGCGTAGGCTGCCGCACAGCACCGCACACCCACTGACCTTTGAGCAGGCTTCAAGCTGACGCTCGAGAGCTGGGAGCGCGACGCGCACGGCGCGCCGAGCACGCCCGAGTCGCGCATCGGCAAGAAGATCCGCATCTCGGAGCTCTCGCTCATTGACCTCGCCGGCTCGGAGAAGTACGTGTCGCAGGGCGCGGACCGGCGCGCCGAGGGCGCCAACATCAACAAGAGCCTGCTCACGCTCGGCAAGGTCATCTACGCGCTCGGCGAGCGCTCGGCGGCGCGCTCCGAGGCCCATGTGCCGTACCGCGACAGCAAGCTCACGCGCGTGCTCCAGAACTCGCTCAGCGGCAACGCCCGCGTCGCCGTCGTGTGCACGATCAACCCGGCGCCCGGCGCCGTCGACGAGAGCCTGAGCACGCTGGCGTTTGCCAAGCGCGTCAAGAAGGTCAGCCTGCACGCGCGCCGCAACGAGGTGGATGCCGAATTCGGCGGCCTCAACCCCGAGGCACAGGCCGTCATCGTGCGCTACATGAACGAGGCCGAGGAGCTGCGCGCACAGCTGGCGGCGCGGCAGGGCGCTGCGACGTCCAAGGTCGGGCGCGACGAGGTCGATGCGCTGCAGTTCAAGCTCGACGAGATCCGCAAGTGCTTCATGCGCGGCCGCGGTGAGGAGGCCGGCGACAGCGACGACGAGCTCGACGACGAGCGTACAGTGAGTGAGGGCACGGTGCACGTGCTGTACGCCGCTGACCCTGTGCAGTCCGCTGGCCCCTCATCGCCTGCACGCACCACCTCGTCCGAGGCCGACGACGGCGACGAGACGCCGGCGCTGACACGCGCACGGCTACGCGAGGCACAGGCGCGCATCGCCGAGCTCGAGGCCCGCCTGGCCGCTCCGCCGGCGCTGCCCGCTGGCTGGGAAGCGATGGACGCATCAGCCCGCACTGCCAAGGCGAGGCAGCTGCAGCAGTACGTGCAGCAGCTCGAGACAGTAACGACGATGCACGAGCACGAGCTCGAGCAGCGCAGCCTGCCGCAGCACCAGCTCGCGCACCAGCTCAAGCTGGCAGAGAAGAAGGCGCAGGAGCAAGAGCGCGTCATGGCTGAGCTGGCACGCGCGGCGGAGCGCTGCAAGCGAGACTTTGAGCGCGAGCGCAAGGTGCGTGCAGCGACTAGGCGTACAGAGCGATTGAGCTGACCCTCCGGCAGGCCAAGCAACGACTCATCCGCCTGATGCACGCCGACACGGCGCAGCAGGTCGCGTCGCTCCGCTCGCCGGCCAAGGGCAGCGCCGCATCGCTGCTCAGCGCCAGCCGCCATCTCGGCGAGAGACCCGCGTCGTCCCTAGGCATGAATCACCCCGACGGCGACAGCGGCGAGCGCTCGCCCTTCGCCTCGTCGGCAGCGCACGGCCGCAGCCCAATGGCGCCGGCCAAGCCGTCCGGACTGCGCGTGCAGACGCGCGCCCGGCGGTCCGTGAGCCAAGACTCGGCAGCGCTGATGCAGAGCGGCGCAGGGCGGGCCCGCTTCGTGGACATGCCGTCGCCGCCGCGGACGGAGGCGAGCATGATGAGCACGAGCGCCTCGAGCCGCGACATCATGGCGCACCTCGCGCGCCAAGCCGGCATGATGAGCCCAACGAAGAGCAGCATGTGGCTGGCGCAGGACATGGACGAGATGGTCAACGAGCTGCCAAGCACCAGCCTGTCGGACCTGACGGGCTAGGGGCCGGGCTTGTGTGTTACGAGCGAATACCATTTGATGCCTCTTTTGCTCTAGCCCTGCCTCTGCGTCGTGCGTGCACGGCGGCGCTCTTCGACCTCGCGCCGCTTGCGCTCGACCTCGAGCTTGCGCTGCTGCCGCTGCTGCTCCTCGGGGTTGGGCACGGCGCCGGCCGCAGAGTGCTCGCGCTCCTCAGCCGTGCGGGCGCTCTCCCTGCGCAGCGCCGCCAGCTCGTCGGCGCGGCGGGCCTCGTCCGTGGAGAAGGCATAGAAGCCGGCGCCGCGGTCGCGCACCTCGGCCTTGGCATCGAAGCGGCTCGGTGCGGCCGACTTGCCGATGGCCGCGACGCGCGTGGCCAGCACTGGCGACGGCGGACGGTACACGGGGAACGAGGTAGACGGCCCGTAGAGCACGCCGCTGCGCGGAAGATCGTCAGCGCCAGCCTCGTCGCCTCCGCGTTCAGCACGCACCTATCGTCCGGCGGCGGCTCGAGCTGGGCCGCAGCCTCCTGCTCCTTGCGCCGCAGCCACTCGCGCGGCACGTCGCGGCGCGGCAGCATGCGTGTGCGCCCAAACTCGTCCTCGTACTCCACCAGCGGGTCGTCGTCGGCGCCGACGGGCGGCGGCGCATCACTGTCGCCGCTGTCGCTCTCGTCGCCGCCGCTCGCCTCGCCGGCCTTGCGCTCCCAGTCGACACTGCCGTGCATCTGCGCCCACGTCGCCTCGTCGACGCCAGCCTCCTTGCCCGCCCGCAGCGCCGCATAGAGGCGCGCCTTGCGCTCCATGGCCGCGCGTGCGGCGTCGAGGGCCGCCGACGGCGTGCCGGCCCAGGCCGACGTGGCGCCTGCGTGCACGCCGTCGTCGCCGTCGCGCTGGCGGCGCGCCTCGGCACCGCGTGCGGGGCGCAGGTGGTGCGGCAGGGCTCGCTCGCGCGGCTGTGCGCCAGGGTCAGCCACATGCTGCGCTGCGATAGCAGTGTAGAACACACCTGCGAGAGCGACGAGGCGCCGGCGCTGCCGCTCCTCTGCGCGGCCAGGTCCGCCTTGAGCGCGAGGAAGGACGAGGCCGAGGCGCCGCCCGCCGCCGCTGGCGCCGCGTGGCCGCTGCTGGGGCCCGCTGCGGCCGCCCCTTGCGCGGCGCGCTTCTTGCGGCGCGGCAGCAGCAGCTCGTCGTCGCCGGAGCGGCTGCGGCGCGACATGGCGCTTGGTGCCGGCGGGCCGCAGAGCGAGGCGAAGGCGCGCGTTGAGGTGCCTGCGGTGGATGTGGAGCAAGGCCAAGGCTCGGCGCGGCGGCGGCGCAGTTGCCGCGAGCCGGCACACGTCGCAGCCGAGGCGTGCGCCGCTCCGCCGTGCTCCCAACAACCACCATCACTGCACCCACAGCCAGCCGCACCGCACTCACACCGCTCTGCACTGCCCAGCACTCCCTGCCGCGATGGCCGAGCCCGAGGCGGGCGAGGAGCGCGCCTGCCGCATCTGCCGCAGCGGGCCCGAGCCCGACAGCCCGCTCTTCCACCCGTGCCGCTGCAGCGGCAGCATCCAGCATGTGCACGCCGAGTGGTGCGTGGCGTGGCTGGCGGGCGCATGTGCGCAGCGCTGACTCCGCCGCAGCCTCATGGAGTGGCTGGAGCACTCGAAGAAGCGCGTGAGTGGCCGGCGTCGTCACGCACTGCCACGCCACTCCGCTGACGGCCACACACAGCACTGCGAGCTCTGCTCGACGCCGTACCGCTTCCGCAAGCGCTACGCCGCCGGCATGCCCGCCGTGCTGCCGGCGTCGCTGTACGTGCGCCAGGCCGCCGTGCGCCTCGTCTGGCTCGTGTGCACCGCCGCGCGCGCGGCCCTCGTCGCCGTCGCCTGGCTCGCGCTGCTGCCGCTCGGCAACATCTACTCGTACAACGGCCTGCTCTGCATCGGCGAGCTGCTCGTCGCGCTCCTCACGGGCAGCGAGCCGGGTGAGGCGGGCCTGCGCGTGCCGCCGCCGCCGCCGCCGCCCGCGGTGGACAGTGAGGCGACGATGTGCGCCGGCGATGCGCGCGCCACGGCGGCCGCCAGCGTGCTCAGCTCCGTCGTGCACGGCTCGCTGCGCAACCTCACCACGCTGCGCGCCGCCAACAGCACCGAGCGGCAGGTGCTCGTCGAGATCCTCACGACGCCCGACCTGGCGCGCCAGCTCAACATGACGCGCAGCAGCGCGCGCGGCCTGGCGCGGGCGCTGCGCATGGGGCCGGCGAAGCAGGGGCTGGTGTGGCTGGGCTACGGCTGGCGGCTGCCGGACGGGGCAGAGCTATCGCGGTGAGTGTCAGCTTCACAGCAGCAGCGATGGCGACACAGGCAGTACGCGCTCCGGTTTGGGCTCGGCTCCCTGACGCTTGGCGCATCTGTTCTCTGTGCTGCAAGCGCGCCTCCGTCGCACCGACATGCTCACCCCGCACCCACCAGCACGCTCGCGCGCCACATCTTCGAGGGCCAGATTCTGACCTGCGCGCTCGTTGTTGTCTTGTACGTTCGAGCAGTGCTGCTCGCCTCGGCGCACCCCGCTGACTGCACCTGACTTCCAGCGTGGCGATCTTCCTCTTCCGCGAGTGGGTGCTGCAGAACATGCCGCAGCCGCTCGACGAGCTTGGAGGCGAAGACGCTGCAGCAGGCGCGCCTCCGCGCGAGGCTGCTCGACGAGGCGAGGACGCACCAGAGGCTGCAGAGCCAGCTGCACCAGCGGCCGGCTTGCAGGACATGCCCTCGCCCTTGTTGCGCGCAGCTCGCATGGACGATGCGGACCTCACCAACTTCGTTGCGCGCGTGCAGCAGCTGAGTGCACAGCTTGAGGCCTCGCGAGCTGGGCTGGACGAAGCCGCGGGCACAGATGCAGGCGCCGAAGCAAACGAGCCCGCTCGTCAGCCACACGACGAGCTGGCGTTGATCTCCGCCCTGGCCGAGGACGAGATCGACGTCGCTGCTGTGCGAGCGGCAAGGCTTGACCGCTTCGCTCCGCGAGACATCCGTCCGCTGCCCACCCGACGCACGCCGAACTACCAGGCAGCACTGGACCTTCTGGAGGAGCAGCACAGCGACGTGAGCGCCGCTTCGTCTGACGCCGGGCCAACCCCGGGCCCCTCATCGCACGAGAATGCTGAGGCCGACGCGTCGCTCCGCGTCGTAGCGGAGCATCAAGAGATCACGCTGCCGGCTGTCTCGTTGGACAAGGGCAAGAGCCGTGCCGTCGATGAGGACGGCGATCGCGCAGCGGCATCTGACGAGCTGGGTGCAGATGGCGACGCACATCAGAGCGCTTCGTCTAGTGGCGCATCCACGCCGGGTTCTCCCGCTTTTGCCGAGCTGGAGATCAGCGAGAGCCGTGAGCTCGATCCGGACGTCACCGTCGATCCGCGGCTGTCGCCAAAGGGCGCCAGCAACTTTGTCGCGCTCAACGAGGACGGACACGGCGATCGCTGGGGAGCAGCTTCGACGAGCAGTCCGCGGCCGATGCACCAGCGTGTCCCGGTCGAGGCGGAGACCGCGGATCAACCGACCTCGTCTTCCACCGCGGCCGCTCATGCTCCGGTGCATGCTGCTGAGGAGCTGGCGACGCCTGGCGAGCCTCGGCCCGCCGAGCTCGTTGCCGACGTGCATGCGCCCGAGGCGGAGGCCGAGGAGCCGGGCGACGAACCGGACGGGGACGCGGCGGGCGAGAACTTCGACGATTTTGAGGTATGGGGCGGGGACGGCGAGGAAGCAGAGGAGGAGGCCGGTGGCGCACAACTAGAGGAGGACCTCGAGGGGATGATGGAGGCGATCGGCATGCGCGGCCCGCTGTCCGGGCTCGCGGCGAACGTGTCGCTGATGTATGTCCTCTGCAAGTGAGTTTTCTCAGCCACGTCCAGCGCGCAGCCACTGACCGCGCACACCTACAGCTTCGTCATGCTCGTCTTTGTCGCACTGCCGTTCGTCGTCGGCAAGCTCTTCGGCGTCGGCTCACGCCTGCCTGCGCTGCTGCTGCTGCCCATCAAAGTCGTCCGGCTCGCTACCGACCCAGTTTTCGACTTTATCATCGGATGCGCCCACGGTGTTCTTCGGCCAGCTGTACAGCTCGCCTCAGGCGTCATGCCGGCTGCACGCCTCGCCGAGCTTGCACGCTCCAGCTCAGGGCCGTTGTCCTCGCTGGCGCAAAAGTTCGCAGCGCTGTCGACACAGTCTACGGACGCCTTGCCCGTCTCGCCCTCGCAGCATGAGGCATCGCTGCTCGGCCAGGAGCTCGTCGACTATCTGCGTGCCTCGCACCTCGCCCTCGACGCGCACACGCGCGGCCAGTCGCTCAGCTCGCAGGCGCTGTGCGTGGCGCTGGGCTGGGCCTATTTTACGCTGCTCGTCGTGGCGCAGAGCCAGCTGCTCGGCGATGCATTCTTCGAGCGCATTCACGCAAAGTGGTTCAAGACGGCAATCGACCAGCAGCTCACGCTGCTCAAGGTCATCATGTTCACCGTCGTCGAGCTGCTTTGCTTTCCGATGGCGTGCGGCGTGCTGCTCGACCTCTGCACGATGCCGCTCTGGGCAGGCATGACGCCGGCCGCGCGCTGGGCACAGCTGTGCGCCGCGCCCTTCTCCACAGCCTTCACGGTGCACGTCTGCGGCACATTGTGGATGTATCTCTTTGCTCAGTTCGTCGGCCAGGTGCGCGCCAGCGTGCGCCCGGGCGTCATGTGCTGGATCCGCGACAGCAACGAGCTCGACTACCACCCCATCCGCGAGATCCTCGAGCGGCGCACGTGGCTGCAGGTGCGCAAGATCATGCTCTCGGCGGTGCTGTACGCCTCCGTGCTCGTCCCGACCGTCGGCACGTCGATCCTTGCCGCCAAGCGCCTCGGCGTGCTGCCCATCGTGTGGAAGCCACACGAGGCGCTCTCCGAGCAGCCCTTCGACCTCGTCGCCGTCCTGTACGTGCTCAAGCCGACGATCCGCGCCGTTGCACCTGAGCGCGTGCTCAAGGCCGCCGGCAGTCACTTCTTCGCCCGCGCTGCGCGCCTCCTTCGTCTGTCGGCCTATCTGGTGGGCACGAATGCCACAGACGAGCAGGCGCCAGACGGCAGCTACGCGCGTGTGCCGAACCAGGACAGCGTGCCGCCGGGTCGTCCGCTGATCCTGCATACTGGTGAGAGAGCCGCGCCGCCGCTGCCAGCCGTTCACTGACGCATCATGCCGCTCCAGATGCCGCCGGCAATCCTCTGCACGTGGCACCTGCCGTTCACCCGCGCACAGAAGACGAGGCCAAGGAGGACGGCCAGTACATTGTGGTGTGGCTGCCGCCGCTGTTCAAGGCACGGATTGCGGCACTTGTTGCCCTACTCTGGCTCACCATCTGCGCTGCCGTCGTGAGCGCCCTGGCGCTGCCGCTCACGTTGGGCCGTCACGCGCTGCGTCTGCTGTTCGCCGAACCGCTGCACGACTTCTACCCCTTCTGCCTCGGGCTCGGCCTGCTGCTCGGCGCCGCTGCAGCCGTGGCCTCTGCCCTCAAGACATATCAGCGAGTGCAGCGGTCCCCAAACGTCAGACGGCGCCTGCGTCGCACGGTGTTTGTGCGTCTGCGGCTGCGCGCTCTGAAGCTGCTCCGGCGCATGTGGATCGTCTTTGCAGTGAGTCTGTCGCAGACGTGGCAGCCGTTGCTCAGTGCTGAGTGGACCTTCTACCGCAGTTCGGCACAGTGACGCCGCTGCTCCTCGGCCTCGCAGTCGAGACCTACCTGATCGCTCCATTCCGCCCGGGCGCGGCCACGGCCACGACGCCGCCAACCATCTCGCTGGGCAGTCTGCTGGCGCTGGGCCTGCTGGAGCAGCGCTTCGCCATTGTGCTGATGCTGCGGCTGGCGCGCAACGATGTGCCTGCGCAGGCGCAAGGATTCACCGCGACGCTTACTGCCGTGAGTTGGCGCACCAGGCCTTACGTCCGCGCAGTGAACTGACAGCTGCTCCTCTAGCTCCACCACAACGGCATCGCACGACCACGCGCCGTGCGTGCGACGCTCGAGGTGTTCCTCCCGGTCGTCGCTCTGCTCGGCTGCCTGGTCCTTGCGCCACTTGCCATCGTGCTGGGCATCTCGCTGGCGCACCCAGTCGACGGCCCGAGATGCCTCGTCGAAGTGCAGCGGGCCCTGCTGTGCTCGATAGTGTGCGTGCAGTGCCCGTCCGGCTCGTCGCCAGTTCCTCGCTAATCCTTCTGCCTTCTCCAGCACGGCGGCGCTGCTCCTGCAAGGCTACCGCCACGCACAGGGCTGGTCGGTGGCCATCCGCGACACGTACTTCCTCAAGGAGCTCGAGCTGCGAGACTACGACGAAGAGGCTAAAGGCGACGACGTCGTTCAAGACGCCCCGGCCGAAGAGCCCGCCGAGCCGCCTGCGATCGACGCTCAGCCGCCGCTCGAGCCTCCAGCACCGGCTGGCGGCCAGCCGGTGCCTCAGCCTCGCACCTCCGACGAAACCAGCAGCGCCGACAACTGGTCCGGCGCGCTGCCCAGCGAGGATGCCACGCCCGCTTCGTCGTCCGACATGGGCACTGCGTCGAGCAAGCAGAGCTTTGACGCCGGCCGTGCGCCCCACGACGAGGCAGCGGGCGAGGCATCTCGCCCTCCGAGCGTTGAGCAGGGCATGCTCGCCGACTCGAGCCCCGACTCTCACCCTGTCCAACCTTGATCGTCACCTGATTCCCGGCTCCGTCACCCCACTCATCATCTGTACCACCTGCATCTGCTACCTCACTGAACCACTCATTGCGTGTCACGCTCCTGGCCTCGCCTTTCGGGGCTCACGCAGTACCTGACCGCCATCCGCAGACCCTCAGCAGCGCGGCAACACGCTCGGCACGGGGAACTCGATCTTTTGGAGGAGTCTGGAGCAGACGGCACGGCGAGATACAGAGGAACACAAGAGGCGGGGCAGCGTGACAGACGAGCGATCCAGGGTGGGGGTATGCAGGCAGGAGAAGAAGGCAAGGCGCGCTCAGATGGCCAGGTTGGCGCACGCAAAGGCGGGGCGCACGGCGCCGGCGTAGTCCTCGCGGATCGCCTCGACGGCCGCGTACACGCCGGGGCCGAGGAGGAAGAGACCCATGACCATGATGATGGCGTGCGCAACGGTGATGAGCGTGCGCAGCTTGCTCGTGAAGAAGCGGCCCTTGAAGAGCTGGTAGTAGGCAATGGCCCAGAAGATGAAGCCGTACTGCGAGTCGAAGACACTGCCGAGCAGCGAGAGGAAGTCGCCCATCGACGGGATCGTCGAGCCGAAGATGAAGGCAACCGCCCAGAAGGCCGTCACGATGGCGCCCCACACGCCCCAGCCGACGACGGTGTTCGAGTGCTGGTGGCGCGAGTTGGCCAGCACGCGCTGGAACACGTACTTCGCCGAGACGTTCGAGTAGATCACGCCGATAACAATCGTCGGCACGAGAACCGGGGCGAAGGAAATCTTCTTGTAGAGCGTCTCGAGCGAGCCAAACGCCGGCGCCTCGGCGTACTGGCCGAGGTATGCGTAGCCCACGACGGCCGGCACGATGAAGAGGCAGAACGACGCGCCGGCAAGGGCCGCGAGGGCCTTGGGGAAGTCCTGCGGGCGGCGCATCTCGTTGATAAACGTCGGGAAGAGAATCTGGGGGATCCAGAGGAAGCTGATGTTGAGCACGGCGTTGAGGCACTGGATCCACGTGGTGCCCTCGACGGGGAAGATGCTCGTCTTGACGGCCGCGCCCATCTCGGGCCACTCGCCGCCGTAGCCCGACGCCGGGTGGTCCTCGATGCCGGCGAAGACGAGCTGGAGCACGATAGCGACAAACATACATGCCGCAGAGACCGTGCACATATGGGAGACATGGTGTAGAGTACGCGGGAGGCTTTGTTTTGGGTCAGAGCATGTTTACACTGGGGTCAGAGGCTTTTTCAGCTTCTTTGCTCACCTCAGCACAATCGAGGCAATCGTCACGATGACGGAGAAGTAGACGGTGCACATGGCGTGGTTGCTGAGCGTGTTGAGGATCTTGGCGCCGGTCAGGACGTGAAAGCCGGCAAGCATCGAGTTGTTGGCAAGGAGCATGATGCCCGTGAACTCGTAGGCGAGGCGCGAGCCGCCGAAGAGCAGGCGGCCAATGTCGCAGATGTCGCGCACCTTGGGGTTGCGCATCATGAACTGCCAGAGCGTGTAGCTCGTGAGCCAGAAGATGGCGCCGCTGAGGAATGTCGTGATGAGGCCGGGGATCCAGCCGAGGACCTTGAAGCTCCACGCCTGCGCCATGATGGCCAGGCACACCTGGTCGCCGAAGAGCAGCACGGCCGTCTTCTGCCAGCTCATCGTGCGCAGCTTGATCTGTGGGAGCGGAGGGGTGAGCTGGGGGGAACATGGCGCGGCGAAGCGAGGTCGCCCGGGCACTCCGGCTCGACCACATCGAGGCCTCTGCCCGGCACACTCGCGCAGACACATCGAGGCCTCCGCCCGGCACACTCGTGCAAACTCACGTCGTGGTCCTCCTCCTCCTTGACGAGGTCCTCGAAGGCCTGGTCCACCTCGGTCACGGTGACGTCGACCTCGTGCACGCTCTTGTCGTCGGCAAACGCCGGCGGCTTGTCGTCGGCGCCGTAGCTGGCGGTGCGCCCGGAGCGCGGCAGCTCGTTGATGTAGGACATCTTGCGTGTGTGTGGGAGGGAGGGGTCGGAGTGGGTTGCTTGTGGGGGGTCCGAGTGGCTGCACCCGCCGCTTCTTAAGCTGTCTGCGCAGGCGCCTCGATGCAGTTATCGCGCTCCGGTGCACGCGAGCCACTTCGCTGGCACGCCTCTGCACACTGATCGCCTGCCTGCGGCCGTCCGTTGCGCTGAAGCGCCCCTCAAAGTGCTGCCTCTTCCGTCATGCGAACTATGGCGTGTGTTCCTGGCCCGCACGGAGAGATGGACGGCGTGCTGCGTCGACGGCGCGCGGGCGGAGGAGGAGGAGGCAGCGAGCGGGAGATCAATCGTCTCAGGGCCGGCGTGCGTATGCCCGAGGCCGAGTTGTGCTCTGGTGCTGCGCGCTGCGACACAGGGTGCAGCGGCAGCACAGCAGCGGCATCCAGCTTTCAGGGTCGGGCGACGAGTGCGTGAGCATGTGCCCCCCGTGGGCGCAGCACGAGGGGGATCGCCGCTGCTGACAGGCCGGCCGTGGGCCGCTTGGGCGGCCGCGCTGCATCTAGAACTGCGCGCTGTGGCTTGCCCGTCACCGCACGCTAAGGCGAGCGGCGGGCGCAGAGGGGCGGCGCGGTGCGTGAGAACGAGGCAGCGGAGCAGCAGCAGGCAGGGGGCATGGCGAGGGAGGGATGGCGTGCTCCTCGCGCGGGAAGCTGGACCCTCGACGACGGCCGCGGGCGGCGGGCGGCACTCGCCGTGTGCCGGCGGCGGCGTGGCGCAAAATGGCCTCTGCTCGGCCCGCCGCTCGGGAGCCGCTGGCAGCGCAGGACAGCATCCGCACAGCGGCACCGCAGCTGCAGCTGAGGCGGGGCGGCGGCTCTGACCGGCGGCTGCGCTGCACTGCCGCCCGCACCGCCGGCGCACGCCAGCTCTGCATCTCACTGCCCTGCGGCGCGGTGCATGCGGCGAGAGAGAGGCACGCAGCACCGCGACGGCGGACGCGAAGGCGGCGGCGGCGGATGCGGACGGCGGACGCCTCGCGGCAACCCTCGGCGCCAGGCTTGCACCGCCCCCTTCGCTGCTTGCATGCAGCGGCTGCTGCTGATCAAGCTCACAGCGCAGCAGGTGCTCTGTTCGAGGCCCCCGCTGCTGCGCTGGATATCGAATATCGCGAGCAGAGAGAGGTGATGCGCCACCGCGCGCCGAGGACGCGCGTCGCCGGCGCAGGGTTGTGTTTTCGGAGGCCGAAGTCCAGACGCCAGACGCCCCCACTTGCCACACTCCGCCCGAGGCACGGGAGTGGGCCTCGTCAACAACGCGCGGCAGAGCACGCCATGCCCCGCGGCCGCCGTCGACGAGGCAGAGGACGTCCCTCGCTTGCAGCCGGATGCCGGCTGGCGGATGCCCAAGCAGCGCTGTTGAATGCTCCCCGCGGCGGCCGACTCGAACTGCGCTCTGAGCAGGCCGCTCATGTGAGCTTCCTGGGGTACCCGCGAGGCGCTCAAAATTGCAACCCTGGCGGCAGGAGAAGCGTCCAGGTGTGCCGCTTAACACCCATGAGGCCCGGGAGACGACTCGGAGGGAAACAGGACCCATGGCCGGCGCGCGAGGCTCGACAAGCTGCAGCTGCGTTTGCCGCACGTGAGAATGCGACGGCGGGGGTGGCTGTGACAGGCGAGGCAAGCAGCGGTGCAGCAGAGCAGCACATCCCGACGTCAAAGCGCAGGGTGCAGCTTCTCCAGGCCAGCCGAGAAGGGGAAGCGGGAGCGGGGGCCAAGGCAGGTCACACGAGCTGCGAGCGCGACGGCGGTCAAGGCGGACGCGTTCGTCCGCCTTGGGCGCGTGAGCGGTGCCAGCCTCCGCGGCACGTGACGCATACGCCAGGCTGATCGCGCCGCGCGCCGCGGGGGCCAGGCACAGCGCTGCCCGTGCCCTCCGGCAGCGCTCCCTCCACCACTCCCCTCGCCCGCGCAGCCGCAGCATCCCCTCTGCACGGCGCCCACCATGGTCCGCATCATCATCAAGGGTGGTGTGTGGAAGAACGTGAGTGGCCGCTGCTGCAGCACGCCCGCCGCCCTCCCGCTCACGCCCGCGCCGCGCAGACGGAGGATGAGATTCTCAAGGCGGCCATCTCCAAGTACGGCAAGAACGTGCGTGCCGCTGGCGCTGCTGGCCCTGCGCCCGTGTGCTGACTGACGCTCCCGCAGCAATGGGCGCGCATCTCGTCGCTGCTCGTGCGCAAGACGCCGAAGCAGTGCAAGGCGCGCTGGTACGAGTGGCTCGACCCGTCGATCAAGAAGACGGAGTGGAGCAAGGAGGAGGACGAGAAGCTGCTGCACCTCGCCAAGCTCATGCCGACGCAGTGGCGCACCATAGCGCCCATCGTCGGCCGCACGGCCACGCAGTGCCTCGAGCGCTACCAGAAGCTGCTCGACGAGGCCGAGCAGCGCGAGAACGACGAGGCCGGCGGCAGCGGCCTGGGGCTCAGCGGGCCGGGCGGGCCCGAGGCGGCGCCGTCGGCGGAGGATGTGCGGCGGCTGCGGCCCGGCGAGATCGACCCGGACCCAGAGACGAAGCCGGCACGCCCTGACCCCATCGACATGGACGACGACGAGAAGGAGATGCTGAGCGAGGCGCGTGCGCGCCTGGCCAACACGCAGGGCAAGAAGGCCAAGCGCAAGGCGCGCGAGCGTGCGCTGGAGGAGGCGCGCCGCCTGGCGCTGCTGCAGAAGCGGAGAGAGCTCAAGGCAGCAGGCATCATGTGAGTGCAGTGTGGCCTTCGGGAGACGTGCGCCGCGCACGCTGCTCACGCGCGCCATGCAGCATGCGGCCCAAGAAGCCCAAGAAGGGCATGGACTACAACGCCGACATCCCCTTTGAGAAGCAGCCCGTCGCCGGCTTCTACGACACGTCAGACGAGGCGTCGCGCTCGTTCCGCGCGCCCATCGGCCAGACGCTGCGCCAGCTAGACAACACGCGGCGGCCGGAGGACGAGGCGGCAGAGCAGAAGAAGAAGCAGAAGGCCGCCGAGGCGAAGCGTGCCGGCAAGGACAAGGACCCGCAGGCGGGGCAGAAGGAGGAGCAGATCCGCCGCCTCAAGGAGGCCGAGCAGATCAGCAAGCGCCGCAAGCTCAACCTGCCCGAGGCGCAGGTGGGCGAGCGCGAGATTGAGGAGATCGTCAAGCTCGGCCACGCCGGCGAGATGGCGCGCGGCCTGGTCCAGGACGGCAACGAGGCGAGCGACGGCCTCCTCGGTGATTACACGCCGCTTGACCGAGCCAAGAACGCGCGGACAGCGCGCGTCGCGCCGGAGGGTAAGTTGCGCAATGGCGCCGGCACTGGCGAAGGTGGTCACTGACACTTGCATCCCCAGAGGACACCGTGATGCGTGAGGCACGCAACCTGCGCAACATGACTGCCGCGCAGACTCCGCTGCTCGGCGAGGCCAACACGCCGCTGCTGCGGGGCACAGGCGCCGTCGGCGCCACACCCCGACAGGCCGTCACGGCCACGCCGAACCCGCTGCTGACGCCGGCGCCAGGGCGCGGCGCCCTCGACGTCTCGTCTGCCACGCCTCGCACGGATGTTGGCTCGACGGTTGCCGACGGCCGCACGCCGCTGCGCACGCCGTTCCGCGACAACCTCGGCCTGAACTCGGAGGATGGCGCATCGGTGATGGACACGCCGCGCGATGCCAAGCGCGCGCTTGCTGCGCAACGGCGCGAGCTGCAGGCTGGTCTGCGCAGCCTGCCGGCGCCGAAGAACGACTTTGAGCTTGTGCTCGACGAGCCGGAGGAGGACGCGCCGGAGGATCCGGCGGCGGGCGCGGTGCAGCTCAGCGAGGAGGACGCCGCCGAGCGCGACGCACGCATCGCACGGCAGAAGGAGGCAGATCGCCTCAGGGTGCTGGCTCGGCGCAGCCAGGTCGTGCAGCGCGGCCTGCCGCGACCCGCCAACGTCGACCTGTCGAGCATGCAGGCGCTGCTGCACGCTCTGCCCGTGCTGGACGAGTCGGACACGTTCGAGCGTGCCCAGCGGCTCATCGACGAGGAGATGGTCGTGCTCATCCAGCACGACTCGATCGAGCACCCGCTGCGCGGCAGCAAGGCGCCGGGCGGCTCGCGCTCTGCAATGCCAGAGCTGCCCGACGACGCTCTGGCGGCGGCGCGCTCGCTGGTCCATTCGGAGCTGGCCAAGAGCATGGGCTTCCCAGGCGCCAGCGCGGAGGTGCTGAAGCGCCTCACGGCGTCCTCGCTCGATGCAACGACGGACGAGGGCGTCGCACGGCTGGAGAGCTTCGAGGCGGCACTGGCCAAGCAGCGCGACGGCGTCGCGTGGAGCGCCGAGGAGCAGGCGTGGGTGGACAAGGCATCGCTCGACGACGGCGCCCTTGTGCGTGGCTACGAGGCGCGCCTCGCTGCTGCGCGCAAGGCGATGGGCACCTCTGCTGCCGCCGCTGCCAAGGACGAGAAGCGCCTAGGCAAGCTGCTCGGTGGGTACCAGGCACGCAGCGCGGCGCTCTCGACGCAGCTGCGCGAGTCGGCGACGGCGCTGGCCGAGGCGCAGATCGAGCACGAGGCGTTTGCGCGTCTTGCACAAGACGAGGAGCCGGCCGTGCTGGAGCGCACCGAGCGGCTGCGGCTCGAGGTGCAGGCGCTGGAGCGCAGCGAGGCGTCGGCGCAGCTGCGCTACCGCGAGATGGACACGCGCCGGCGCGACTTGCTCGCACAGGTCGAGGCGCTGCAGACGGAGCTCGACATGCGCGAGGCCGAACGCATCAACGACGCCGCGCTCGCTGCCAACGAAGCCGCCGAGGCGCTCGAGGCCGCCGCGGCCAAGACGGAGACGGGCGAGGCGGACATGCCGCCGACGAAGCTGGAGCGGCACAGCTCAGACGAGAACGGGATGAGCGACGCCGCATAGTCCCTTCATACCCCCCACGCACACATCGCACACGCCGAGCAGCAATCTACACATCCCACGAGCATCGTGCGCGAGGCCGGCGGGACATGTGCGTTGAGAATGAGAGGCGGGAATGATGGGCGTGAGGTGTACAGACGATGGTGCGCTTCCTAGAGAGGGGTCAGAGCGCGTGCTTTGGGCGGGGGTCATCATCGTGCAGCGCGAGTCGAAGAGCAGTGCAGGAAGCGGGTGCGAGAAGAAGCGGTGGTGTTGCGCCGGGTCGCTGTGCGGGACCAGCCCGGAGCGGAAGCACGAGGAAGCAGGGCCATGGCTGAGCGGAAGCCGCGGGAGTATGAGGCCGTGAGAGCGGCCGAGACTAGAGTCCTGTTGTGTCGAGGCGGAGTGGGCGGAGTGGTGCTGGGCAGGAGTCGAGGCGTTGCGGCCAAGCAGCGTGGGAGTGCTTGGCGGCTCGAAGATGCAGGCACGGCTTGTATGGCGCCTACGAGTCGTCGCCGTTGAGAAGCGTAGCGAAGCCGCGCCGCATGCCGGACGTGGCAGCATCGCGCTCCGCCTCGGCCTCCGCGATGACATCCTCCGTGTCGTCCGACGGCGGCAGAGTGCCGCTGCTGTCGCTGCGCGGCAGGATGCGTGCGCCAGAGTTCGGCGGCGCCTTGGCAGGCAGCGCAAAGGCCTGCATGCGGGCGTGCGCCACCGAGCTCGGCGATGTGTTCGGGCCGCCCGACGCACGCAGTGCAGCCAGCGCAGCGGCGCCATCATCCTCGTCTGCGTCGACGGACGAGCCGGAGAAGCGCCGCTCGCGCGCCAGCTGGTAGCGTGCGCCGAGCGACGGCGCCATGGCGCCGTGGGCGTATTGCTGCTGCTGCTGTTGCTGGGCGGCATTGGCAAAGGCGTTGGACGACCATGCGGGCGAGACGAACGCGCGGGAGCCAGGCTCGAAGGCCGAGCGCGAGAGTGGCGGGTGTCCATCGCGGCTGCCTCCGCGCGGCGAGAGGAGCGACGCAGCGGAAGCGCCCGCAGCATTGCCGCCGCCAAAGGAGGTCGCAGCGGGCGCCGAGGCGCCATAGTAAGCCGCGCTCGACGGCGCTCCCATGCTGCCCGCACTGCTGCTGCCGCCCTGCGACGGCGTCGAGTACATGCCGGCGGCGCTGTTGGCGCGCGCCAGGCTGCCGCTCGACGACGCCGAGGCGTTGCTCATCGTGCGCACGCGCGCGTCCTCCTCGGCATGCTCCGGCAGGCCGGCACTGCCCGTGCTGCCCTGGTGGTGGCCCTTTTGGTGGCGCCGCAGATTCGACTGCACGCTGAAGCTGCGTCCACAGCCGGGCTCGTGGCACACGAACGGCTTCTCGCCGGTGTGTCTGGAGACGGCGCGCGTCAGTCTTGCAGAGAGCGTTCACGCAGCTGCGACACTTACGAGTGATGATGGATGCGCAGACTGCTCGGGCGCGAGAAGCGCTTGCCGCACCAAGAGCATTCATACTTGGCGCCGCCTGCAGCGATCATGCCACCGCCGTGCGCAGACGCCAGCACGCCCGACGCGGAGGCGCCAGCGCTCGATGTCGGTCGGCTGGCCAGTGCAGCCAGCGAGGCGGCGGCACCGTCGGTGGAGGTGCTCTTCTGCATGGCCGCGCCATGTGCCGGCTCATCGACGTCCATCTCCTCGTCCCTGCGTCCGTATGCTGTCCCAGCCGGCAGCGGAGCGATGGGCCGCGAGGCGCCTGCGTTGAGACTCGTGCCGAGCGTCTGTGCGCGCTGCCGCGGCGGCACCACGCTCACGTCGGCCGCGGCGTCAGCCAGCGACGCAAGTCCGTCCGAGAAGCCATCGCCGATGCGTTGCTGCTCGGAGTACGTGCGTGCATGCAGCATGGGCGCGCCGCCAGCCGGGCCTGCAGTGCCGCCAAACTGCCAGAGACTGTGGTGCCGCGGCCGTGCGCTGTCGCCGCGCGGAAAGGCCTGCGGGGCGCCGTAGGGCGCACTCGTGGCGTGGGCAGCATCGATGCTGTCGAGCGTCGACGTGCGGCTGTGCCAGCCGACGCTCGAGGCGCCGCGCGGGCTGTGTAGCGCGGCCGTGGAGTCGCTGTGCGGACTTGCACTCCACGACTGCGAGTGCTGGTGGTGCCCGTAGGACGAAGGGCCGTAGCTGCCTGCATATGCGGGCGGCGCGAATGGCGGACCAGCACGCACGTGGCTGCCGCCCTCCAGCGAGCCGTTGCGCGTGCGCGCCTCGCCGTCGGACGTGAACGACGTCGTGCTCGCCGAGCTCGAGAGCGAAGGCAGCGACCCCGAGTACGCCGTGCCCGCCTCGTACATGTGCCGCGCAGAGGGCGGCAGGCGCCGGCCTGCGGCGTTCATCTGCGCGGTGGGAGTGGTCGGACTGTCGGGAGTGGAGCCTCGCCGCCGCAAAGCAGAGCCCGCCTCTGCAGCGGCAGCGGCCGCCCGGCCCACGGCGCGCGGCGTGCCATGCACTCCTCGGCGCGGCGTCGGCTCGGCGGGACCCTCGACTGCAGCAGAGGGCAGCCCTGCCGGCTCGTCGAGGGCGCCGAGCGTGTGCCGCCGCCGTCCGCTGCTGGGAGCGCCGCTGCTCGACAGGCCAGGCGACGGCGAGCCGCCTGCGCGCTCAGTCTGCGCGATGCTGCGCTTGCCGCGCGCCGTCGCGGGCGGCGGCGGCGAGGGCCGAGCGTCGTGTGCATCGGCGCCACGCACGGGCGATGGCGGCACGAGGAACATCGGGCTGGGATCGGAGAGCGAGACGGCGTGGCTGAGCGGCGACATGGGCCGCGCAGCCCCCGGCGCAGCGTGCGGCATGCCGACGCCGGCGCTGGATGCATGGCGCGTGCGGCCGGCCGAGCGCGGCGAGCCGCGCAGCGACGACGTGGGCGGTGCGGCAGCAGCCATGCTGGCTGATGCTGCGCTGCTGCCGCTGCTGCCCGTGGAGGAGTAGTGGCGCTCGCGGCGCGGACCCCATGCCAGCGGCGCCTCCATGCTGCCGCCGCCGTCGCTGGGCGCAGCACGCGGAGCAGGCGGCGCAAAGGCGAAGCTGCTGTGCAGCGGTGCGCCGGCGTAGGGCGCACGTACGGACTGCAGGTTGTCTGTGGCGGCCAAGTCAGCACCAGGGAGCATTGCGCTCGATGCAGCGCCGGCTGGACGCTGGGCGGCGCGAGGGCCTTGCGCGCTGCCCATCCGCGCGCGCCGGACGCCCTCCTCGCCAGAGGCCACGGACAGCACTCACCGCCACGCTCGAGGCCAAAGAGATGCTTGATGCTCGGCAGCGCGCCCGGCTCGGCGCCTGCCGCACCCGGCTGCTGCGGCTGCGACGGCGAGCCGGGCGCCGCGGCGGCCTGTGCTGCTGCGGCGGCGGCACGGCGCGAGGGCGACGACTGCGGAAAGGGGATGCCGCCGCCGGCAGCGTCGCGCGCATCGCTGCCGCGGGCATCGGCAGCAGCGAAGCGCGCCGTCATGGTGACGGCGGATGGGAAGGAGGTGCCGAGAGGCAGGAGCTAAGGGCGAAGAGGCGCAGCAGGTGGATGCGCGAGGCGCCGCCGCAGCAGCTGCCGTCTGGAGCGCAGCAGACGGCGCGGCGCAAATGGAGTGCGCAGAGGGGTCGTGAGGTGCGTGGGCGGCGGCAGCGTAAGTGCAAGGGACGAGACCGAGCCGGACGGCGTGAGTGCGAGGCAGGAAGAGGAGACGGCGACGAAGGGAGCAGCAGCGGATGGCTGAGGCTGCGTCTGCTGCACGGCAGCGGCTGCAGCTGCTGCGCCAGCATCTCGTCACGCCGCCCGCCTCTGCCGCTGCCGCGGCACTCCCGCGCCGGCGCGGCGCGTCTGCAACGCTGCAAGGCATCTGCCGCTCTTCTGCTGCTGTGCTGATCTGCCGCTGCGCCTCTGCTGCGCCTCCTGATCATCGCCCATCGCGGGTCCGCGCCTGCAGCTCGTGTGCCTTCAACGCGAGCACGGCGCGTCTGCGCTGTGGCGCTTGTGACGTTCTCGCTCGGCGTGGGCGTGTGCCGTGCCGGTGCTGCTCCCTCGCCTCCAGCCTCCGCCTTCCCGGTGCCTCGCGCATCAAAGCTGCGCTGCGGCGCTGCGCCAATCCAAGCAGCGCAGGGCAGGGCAGAGCGTCGCAGTGGCAGCATCTCGCCGTGCCGTCACTTGTCAAGGCGACGGCCGCCCGCGTCCCGTCGCAGCGAGGTGCAATCTGCCCCGCAGCCCAATCAAATGCGAGCACTAATGAGCGGCACAGAGTGCGGCAGGAGGTGGAGCGTGTGAACGCACGACGCGGTGCAGGCAGGCACGCAGGCAGCACCAGGCTGAGGTGCAAGCGACGGATTGCGCTGGCCCTTCTGCAGCGGCGAGCATCGGGAGGAAGTCCAGAGTGATCGGCGCGGTGCGGCGTGGTAGCCGGCCGTGCGAGTAGGGCGATCACCTCCGTGCTGAGCCCCTGCATCTTGCAGCATCTGCCATCAGGCACAGATGCCGCATCGAACACCCGGCACAGAGGCAGCGAGCCTTCGAAGGATCGGCAGACGATCGCCTCGCCCGGCGTCGGCGTGGCCTTTCGAAGCCTCGAAGGGGCGGTGCAGCGGGCATGCGCGTTCCGCGGCCTCGTCTTCGCGCGCGGCGCGCCGGATGCCAAGCAGCGCGCGCTGACAAGAGGCCTCTCATGCGTGTGCTCGCTGCGACCTCGCCGATCAGGCCTGCGCCTCGAGGCGGGCCGTCTGCGAGAGGCGCGAGAGAAGCTGCAAGCACGATTGCATGCTGCGGCCAAGCACCGCGCCGCACCGCACATGCCAGCGGCCGTCCGAGCGGCGGCGGCCTCTCCTTTGGCGCCGGCCCGGGCGGTCTCTGTTCCCACGCTCCAGATCCAGCAGAGGGCGGCCGCGGGGCAAGGTGGCATGCAGGGGCTGTGCGCGCGCGGGTGCGCTGCCGGCCGGCTGGCGCCATCCGACGGGCCGCGGCGGCGGCGAGGTGCGCCAAATAGCACGACGAGCAGCGCGAGGCCCGCTGCGGCTGACGCTGCTGCCTCCCAACCACCTCCATCCCGCACCCTCATGTCCGCTCCCTCGCCCAGCCGCGCACCAGCCGTGCGCGTGCGGCGCCGCAGCAGCGCCAGCGAGCTGCCCGCGCCGCGCACGCGCCCGGCGTCGCAGCCGCCGCAGCACGACGCCGCCGCGCGCGCCCGCGCCGACGACGTGCTGGCGCGCGAGGTCGGCGGCCGCGCCTCGCTGCAGCTGCATCTGCCCTGGCAGCACCACGAGCAAGGCACCGGCGCTGCGTCCCGCACGCGCCCACGCGGCAGCGTCGTCGAGTCGCTGGCGCGCCGCCATCGCGCCGCCGTCGAGCGCCGCGAGGAGCAGCGCCGCGTGCGCCGCCTGCGCCGCTTCGACGGCCTGGGCGCCATCGCCGAGGGCGCCACGCCCAACGAGAGTGCCGCCGCTGCTGCTGCTGCTCCGTCGGTGACTCCTGCGCCGCTTGCACCGCCCACCTCGCCGCCGCGCCGCCGCACGTCCGTCTCGACGCGCGCCAGCAGCGAGCCGCGCGGGCCCGACGAGCACTCGTGGGAGGCCGTCGAGGTGCTCGACGTCGTCGATGCGCGCGTCAGCACCGTGGGCATGCTGGGCAGCATGGCGCGTGCCATCGTGCTGCCCGCCAGCATGGCGGGCGGCGAGCCGCTCATCGACCTGCCGACGCCCGAGGAGCGCGTCGCGGCGCGCCTCGACGACGAGCTGGAGCTGGGCGAGCCGCTGAAGCGCACCGCCAGCGACCACCTTGACGCCCACGTGCGTGCGCAGCTCGACAAGCGCCAGAGGCGCAAGGCGTGGGTCAAGAAGACGGCCGCAGGCATCTGGACGTTCATGAAGACGCCGCTCGGCATCGTCGTGTCCATCTACGGCTTCCTCGTCGTGTGCGTACTGTTGCGAGCGGCGCGCTTCTCCGAGCTGACTGAGCTGGCCTCTTGCAGCTTCACGGGCGCTGCGCTCGTCATCTGCCTCTTCGGCTGGGTGCCGGGCAACAAGGATCTGCAGGTCGAGGCCTTTTCGCAGGCAATCAACGCGCTCTTCACCATCACCGGCGTCGGCCTCATCCCGTGGCGCGTGCGCGACACGTACCGCATCAGCCGCATCTGCCACTACCGCAACACGACGGCGCGGCTGCGGCGCGAGCGCGGCCTGCCGCCGCTGCGCGACTTCAATGACTTCAGCGCCGAGCGCGAGAAGCAGGCTGCAGCCGCCGTGCGCGAGCGCAAGCGTGCCAGCGAAGGCAGTGCGCCGTCGCACGGTGCTGAGAGCGACGAGGAAGATGCAGAGATCCAGCTGCCGGAGATTGAGATGGATGCAGAACACGTCCTGCGCCCCGACCAGGCACATCGCCTCACCGTGCTGCAGGACAAATTCGCAGAGAGTGCCACGTGGTATCGCTACGTCGAGACGAGCACACATCGCGCGTGAGTGCGCCAGCGAGGCTCGAGGCCGAGCAGCCGCGGCTGACTCTGCAGGACGCCAGCTTTCCCATCGGCTGGGCCGTCAGCATCACGGCGCTCAACGTCGGCAACTCGGTGTTCCAGTGCGTCTGCTGCGGCGTCATCGTCGAGCTGCTGCTGACCAGGCTTCACCACTACAGGTGCTGTCTCTGCGCTGCAATGTGGGGCTAGTGCGTCGCTGCATCCGTTGCTCGCTCAGTCTCTTCGCTGACCCGCTGCGCAGTGCTGGGCCCACAAAGTACAAGAGCCGGCCCGCATGGATGACGGCGCTCGGCATCGGTGCGTTGCGCATCTGCTTCACCCCCGAGAAAGCGACTGACGAGCATCATGCAGTCCTCTCCTTCTCGTGCGGCATCGGCGCAGCCGTGTGCATCGCGCTCGGCACCAAGCGCACCAAGAAGACGGCCGAGGTCGAGGCACGCCTGGAGCGCGCGTTCGAGCTCGAGGCACAAGAGCTGAGCGGCCAGCACGAGGCAGTCACGCCGAGCACCGAGGCTCCTCCCGCCATGTCGGCTGCGCCGGTCGATGCTGCGCCGCACACATCGGCTCCTGCTCCGGCGCTGGCGTCTGAGCAGCCTGGCGTCAGTGCGGCGCCAGAGACACGCCCATGACCTGCTCGCGCCTCGTCGCCATCTCGCCGTTGATCCCTAGAGCTCTCATCGTGTCACGTCTCTTATCACCCGGACCTGTACTTGGCTACGCGCCTTGGCTGTGCATCTATCCGTTACCTGCGAGCTTGCGAGCTTGCGATTGAGGACCGCACCAGTAGTGTGAAGCTCATAGAGCGAGGCGAGCAAGCGAGCTGCGCTGCCTGCACTGACACTGCGCTCGATGCCTGGCAGAGACGCCCGCACCTCAGTCGCAGCTCACCTGAGCCAGCACCTCACACAACGCTCGCACCGGATCCCAGCCATCGCATTAAGAGCCATCGCCGCGCCGCTGCCCGCACGACGGCATCCTGCACGCGTCCGCTTCAGGCGCGCCAGAGGAGGAAGGCGATCTGCCCGAGGTCTGCGGGAGGCGGCGTCAGCTGATTGAACACGAGCGCGGGAAGGCAGAGCTGCGGCTTACAGAAATAGATGAAGTGCTTCGTCTCTGAGGAAGGGCTGGTCAGCGGCTGGCCGATGCATTGAAAGGAAGAGGGGAGTCGGCCGACTGGTGAGGAAGCGGCAAGGGGGACGCAGCAGTGCTGCGCTGCTGTGCCACCTTCCGTGCCACGTTCGATGTGGCATCGTCGCACCACGCTCGCTGTGGCATTGTCGCACCACGCTCGCTGTTGCATCACCGCACCACACTGCCGCACCCCACCGGTTGCTCCGCCGCACCACTCACCGTGTGTCACGTAGCTGCCGTAGTTGCGGCCGACGACGGCGTGCCACGTGGCGCCGAACTGCTGGTCCATGGCGCGCTTGACGTGCGCAGCCATGTCCTTCTCGACGCTGAACTGGCGCAGCGAGTCGAGGGCAATGCCGATGGCCGCGTCCTGCATCGGCTGCTCCATGTCGGCGTTCTTGATCACCGCCTTGGGAATGGCGTCGGTGGCGCCGAGGAGACCGCCGCTGGAGGGCGCCTGTGCGCTGGGAGCTGCGTCGGAGGAAGACATGGTGCGTGGTGTGGTGGGCGAGAAGATGCGGCTCGCGAGTGCGAGAAGCCGTGCGCCGCGCGTGGAAGCCAGGAACGAGCAGGAGCTGCGCCGACTCTGCGGCTGCTGCGCCTTCGAGAAGGCGAGGAGGCAGGCGCTGCTGGCACGCGCGATGCAGATGGACAGGCAAGGGCACAAGTGGCTCTCTGCCGTCTAAGCTAGCCGAGCGTGCTCGACGACGCGCTCACGAGCGTGCGTGCGACAAGAGGGACAGATGTGTGCGCGCGGCGGCGGCTGCGGCACAAGGCGGGCGTTCAGGGGTCGTGCCGGCTGAGGAAGCGCGCGGCGGGATCGTGAGCAGGCGCGAGGGCGTGCTCTGGCGCGCGGCGGAGCGAGCGTGGGTGTGTGTGTGAGAAGGAGGAGCGGTGCTGCTGGCAGATGGACGATGGTGGGGCTGGGGGGACAAGGGCGAGGGCGTCCGGGCTACACGTCGCCGGCGCCGTTGGAGCGTGAACGGCGCCCGTGCGGGTCGCGTCACGTGCGGTGCGGCCGCGCTTCTCTTTCTGCGGCCGCGGCGCTTTGCATGCAGCGCCGGCCTGTTCTGCGGCGCGCACTAGACTCTTGCTTCCCAACCACCACCCGCCCGCCGCAATGCAAGCATTCCCTCCGTAAGCAAGCCGCCTGTCTGACTCCCTCTCTCTTCCTCCCACCACCTGGATCCATCTGCCCGTGGCGGCTTCTCTACGCCGCGGCGGTTCCTGAAGCGATCCCAGAGCGACCCTTGAAGCGGTCTGCGAGCCCGCTCTGCCTTACATCGGAGCGCGGCGAGCGGACGGCGAACGTGTGCGACGCCGAGTCCGATGCGCTCCACTGGCAGAGGATGGAGCGGCGCGGCGTGACATCTGTACCTGTTCAGCACTGCAATGCAACGAGTCGAAGCCACACCATTCACGCATGAAGCTGGCGGTCTGATGATGGCATTTGGGTCATGAGAAGGGATGCAGTTCGTGTGATGTACGGAGCCATGGGATGCAGTGATGAGGTGACGGAGGACAGAGGCAAGGGCGCAAACACTAGTTGGTCTCCTGGAGCAGCCACTCGAGGCCCTGGAAGGCGCGGCGCGACATCTCCTCGGGGACGCCGGCGTCCTCGTTGCTCAGCTCGTCGGCGAACACCTCGATGCTCCATGCACCCGTGAAGCCGGCCTTGCGCACGGCGCGGACGAAGTCGGGCAGCGGCATGAAGGCGCCGCGGCTCTTCTCGCCGGGAAAGAGGCGGTGCGAGCGGCTCCAGCGCAGGCGCGCCGGGCGTGGGTCGGCCTCCGAGGCGGGAGCCAGCGGCGCCGGCGGCGGCCGGGCGTCGCCGAGCTGCAGCAGGAAGATGCGCTCGGCCGGCAGCTTGCTGATGGCGTCGAGCGAGGCGGCCAGTGCGCCGTTCTCGAGCGCGTTGGGCGACGCCACGCAGCCGGCCACACACGGGTCGGCGTACTCGCGCGCGAGCGTGTTGAAGCTGTCGAGCACGAGGCCGAGGTTCTCGCGGTCGGCGAGGCGCACGCGCTCGTAGGCCTGCGTCCAGGTGTCGACGTGGGCGCCCCACGCCAGCGCCTCGTAGCCGATGCGGATCACCTCGCCCCCGCACTCCTCGGCGAAGCGGCGCGCGTCGTCGGCGTACGTGGCCAGCTGGCGCGCCGTGAACTCGGCGTCGCCGCTGGTGCGCGGCGCGCCCTCGTTGTTGGAGCACGCCAGCAGCAGGCTGGTGCCGAGCGCACGCATGATGGGGAAGCGCGAGTTGACACGGGCACGCGCAGCGGCAAAGTCGGCGTCCGAGACCCAGCCCTCGATGTCGCGCAGCGGCTGCAGGTTCAGCACGCTGAGGCCGAGCGAGGCGCACAGGCTGCCGATGTACGCCGCGGCCGCCTGCTCGCGCGCCAGCTCGGCGGCGCTGCAGGGCCCGTAGGCGTTGTACACGAGCGCCGGCTCGAGCGTGCTCGACGACGACGCCGAGGCGCTGGCGGCGGCCCCGGCGAGCAGCTTGGCGCGCGCCAGCGGCGAGTCGGGCGGCGACGGCGCGGCGGCGTCGAGGTGCGAGGCAAACTCGGCGCTGTTGGCGAACACGCTGAGGTCGTCGGAGAAGATCTCGACGGCGTCGAAGCCGGCGGCGGCAATGGCGCGCAGCTTGGCCGGCAGCGCGTGGCCGGCGACGTTGGCGCCGACGCTGTGCGAGAAGATGGAGAAGGCCGGGCGAGTCATTGTGCTTGCAGAGGAGACGATGGCGGTGCGGTTGGGAAAAAGTGGGCTGGCGCGGCTGGCAGGGTGCAGTGGCGGCCGCTCTATATACCTGCCGGCGCAGAGAAGTGGGGCCGCAGGGGCGGCGCGGGGCGTGGAGAAAGGATGTGCCGGCGTTCCCGCGCCAAGCGCTCCGAGGCGGGGCGCGCGTCGGAGCGCTGACGTAAGCAGACGCGACCCTTGCTCATCCTGCCGCGACCCCGCCGACCCTTGACACGGGCGCAGCAGCCGCCAGAGGGTGCCACGCCGGCCGCTGCTGCGTGCTGCGCTCGGGCGCAGCGCCTCAGAGGTGCACGAGGGTCCGGGAGATGCAGCGATGAGATTAGGGTCAGATGTACGCGTGTGAGAGAGACGATGCATGGGTGTGTACGGGAGGGGGCACGATGTGATGAGGGGAGAAAGAGACGAATAGATGGTAGCAAGCAAGAGTGTAGCGGAACGGCATGCTCAGGCCGTGGCGGCGGCCTCGTCGTCGCGCAGCAGGCCGGCGAGCACGGCGGCGTAGGTGAAGACGTACTGGCGCGTCGTCTGCACCGAGCTCATGCGCTGCTCGCGCGTCACCTCGACGGCGGCGCGGATGTAGTCGAGCGCGTCAGAGGCAGGCGCCGGTGCCGGCGTGCCCGACGGCGAGAGCGGCAGGCCAGCGGCGCTCGGCTGCGCAGCGGCGGGCGTGGAGGGCGACGGCGAGGCAGGCGTGAGACGCAGTGCGCGCGGGCGCACGGCGACCGTGGGCGTTGCGCTCGACGACGACGCCGGCAGGCCGGGGCTGTCGCGTGCGATGTGGAGCGAGCCCATGGCGCGGCTCGGCGTCTCGGCGCCGCTGCTGCCGCTGCCGTCGCCGGAGCCGCGCCCAGGCGTGCGTGCGGAGCGCGGCGTAAACGCCGGCGAGGCACGGCGCTCGGCCCACTCGGACGGCGTGCCCGGCGGGTCGACATCCAGCTCCGAGCGCGAGCGGCGCATCGGCGGCGGGCTCGACATGTCGCGAATCGAGCCGCTGGCGTTGGAGGATGCGCCGAAGGAAGAGCCCGTGCCGCCGTTCTCGCCCAGCGAGGGCGAGTCGAGATCCATGGCCGACGGCGAGAGCTCGCGCTTGAGGTTGCGGCGCGGCGAGCGCAGGCCCGTTGGGGCTGGCGAATCGGGCACATCGCTCATGCGCACATCCTCCGTCGTCGTGGAGCGCCCGCGCGGCGCATCGCCCGCAGCGAGCGCCCGCGCAGCGCACGCATTGTCCCACGTGTGCGGCACGGGCTCGCCCAGCGCCGACACACGCTGCCGGCGCAGCACGTCGAGCACAGCATCGATGACGACGTACGTGCCCGTGCGGCCCACGCCCGCCGAGCAGTGCACGAGCATCGGGCCGACGGCATCGTCGGCGCTGGCGTCGGGCGAGCGGCGCGCGGCGTCGAGCTGTGCCGCGGCGGCCAGGTCCATGTACGCAAGCAGGCTGCGCGGGCTGTCGGGGATGTGGTAGTCGGGCCAGGCAATGTACTGCAGCTGCACCACGCGGCGCGTCTGGCGTCCACCGCCGGCCGTGCTGGTGAGCTCGAGCTCGCGGCGCACCATGCTCGCCGTCTCCTTGGGCGAGGCCGTGGCGCCGTCGCCGCTGTCCATCGAGGAGAAGAAGTTGCCGCCGGCCTGCTGCTCCTCTGCATCGGCCTTGCGCGCCCCGCGCTGTGCTGCCGCATCGCAGTGCATCGGCCGGCCCTCGCCATCGAGCGTCTCCTCGCTGACCAGGCGCAGGCTGAGGTGCTTGCCGTATGTTGCGTCGCCCCAGTACATGTGGCTCTGCACCCGGCCCGCCTCGTGTTCGCGCGTCAGCATCGCCACGACGGCGACGTTCTGCTCCCACACGGTCGTCCAGAAGGCCTCGAATGTCGACGGCAGTGGCGCCTGCGTGGCAATGTAGCGCCGCTTCGAGCCGTGCACGCGCGCGGGCTCGACGAATGAGGCGTTGAGGTAGTCGGTCGTGCCTGCCGCCGGCGCGCCGATGCGCACACGGCTGTGCTCGTACGTCCAGATGTTGTTGTAGCGATTCTCGGCGCCGCGCTCGAGCGCCGCGGCGATGCTGAACGGAAACGGGCCGTCCTCGCCGCCACGCACAGCGCTGTGCTCCGACGCGAGCTGCGGTGCAGACGGCGAGCCGGCGCCACCGGCCTGGTTCACCGACGGCGCGCTGCGAGGATCAATGCTGGATTCGGCGGCATGCTGGCGCATCGTGTGCATCAGGCGGTCCTGCTCTGCGCGCTCAATGTCGAAGAAGCTCTGCGCCAGCTCCTTGGCGCGTGCCTGCGGCTCCATCGCGGCGAGGCGCGCCAGGAACGCCGGCAGCATCGAGCGCTGATGACCGTTCATCTCTGGCACGTCGAGCGGCACGACCTCCGTCACGCCGTGCGCCAGCTCGCGGTTCTGACGGATGTTGTCGAAGAAGGGGTTGGCGCACTGAGAAACGGTGAGCTGAAAATTAGCTGGGCATGCACCGTCTCGACTCACAGCTTGCGCCGACGGAGGCGGTCCGTTGCTGCCCTGCGACTGCGCCGACGAGTCGCGCGCGTTGCTGTCCCGCGACGACGCTTTGCCACCGGCGGTCCACGCGCTCGCCAGGCTGTGAGCAGTGAACGCCTCGGCCGGCAGGCCACGCGGCTGCACGAGCGAGCCTTTGCGTGCCCCAGGGCCGGCGCTCAGAGGGCCGACATCGCCGTCTGGCGCAGACGACGGCAGCCGCATGGGGCCCGGCGCAGACGCACGACGGCTGCCCTTGGAGTCGGAGCGCTGCAGTGCCGCCACTGCGGGACTCGCGGCAGCGCCCGGTGCCGCCGAGGTGGGCTGCGCCGAGGACAGCGGCGAGCGATCGATGAGACGTGCAGCCGCCACGCCTGCACCGCCGGCAGTGTCTGCCGTCTTTGCGAAGCCGTTGAAGCCGCCGACAAGCCAGCAGAGCTCGCCGGCGAAGCCAGCGGCATCAAACTTGCGCAGCAGGCCGAGCAGGCACGCGCCGCCGCCGCCGACGTTCGGACGGCCGGCATCGCCCACGCCGCGCGTGTCCGTGTCGAGCACGACGATGCGGCGCAGCGGCGGCGACGAGCCTCGACGCTCGCGCCTGTCCGTGCCGTTGCGATCGCCATTTGCGCCATCTTGCGTGTTCTCCTTCTCGCTGCCCACGGGCGGGTCGCCGCGCGCGTTGCGGCGCCAGCGCGAGAAGCGCCGGATGTCTGCGGCCGAGCCGAGCATCTCCTCCTCGATGCGCTCGACGGTCATGCCGGCGCGGCGCAGCAGCGTGCTCGGCGCGCATACGTTGATGCTCTGGGCGATGCGGGCGGCGCCAAAGGACGTCGAGGGCCGAATGTCGAGCACGAGCGTCGCGTCGCGCTCCACCTCTGGATCGCCTGCTGCGCTGCCACTCGATCCCGTGGTGCCGCTGTCGCCACGGCTTGCTGCCGAGGCCGCTGCGGCGTGAGCGCCTGGCGAGGAGCTGCGCGATGCACGGCGCAGACGAGGTGCTGAGCCAATGTCGCCCTCTGAGCCATTGCGGCGGCCATTGCCGCCCAGCAGGCGGGCCAGCGCTTGGCAGTCGAGCGGAGTGTAGCGAGAGATGTCGGACGGTGCCGAGGCCGAGGCGGATGCCGATGTGCTGGCGCTCGGCAGCGACACGGAGCCGCGGGCACTGGCACCGCTGAAGCTGCGGCCGCCGGATATGCTGAGCGAAGGAGCAGCGCCGCCGCCGCCGAGCGAGGGAAAGCGCAGCGTCGGCGTGGCTCCACCATCGTGCTGCGGCGTGGCCGGCATGAGTGGCGTGACACCGCCGGGCGTCTGCGGCATGCCCTTGGGCAGCAACGAGGCCCACGGATGCGGAGCGTCGAGGCCGTCGCCACCGGCAGCGCCGAGATGCGCGCCGGGCGTCTCGGCTGGTCCGCCACGCGCGGGCGTGGCAAAGTAGTCTGGCTCGCCTGAAGAGGCGGCAGTCGAGGACGCCGAGGCGGCGGAGAAGAAGCTGCCGCCGTCTGCGCCCGCTGCCGTGCCCTGCATGCTCGGCGCCGGCGCCGCACCGCCGCCCGGCGAGGCGAAGAAGCCGCTGCTGCTGCTCGCCGCCGGCGGCGCCAGTGCGCTGCCCGAGCTCGGACCGGCACCTGAGCTGCGCGGGCCGGGAGTGCCGCTGCCGCTGGCGCCCAGCTGGCCCACGAGACTCGGCTTGCCTGCACGCATCACGCCGCCACCGCCCGACATGCTGGGGGACTGGCGCGCGAACGGGCCGCTCAAGTTGGGCAGTGTGGAGGGAGAGAAGAGGGCAGTGGCGTCGGGCGCAGCGGCGCGGGGGGCCATGGGGTGTGCTGGCGCACGCGAGAGGGAGCGACGAGGATGGACGCTGGTGGACGAGGAGCTGAGGCTGCTGGGTGCTCGAGGCGCCACGTGGGATGGGGAGACGTGGCGGGTCGCGTGGGCCGGTGCGCAGGCGAGAGGCGGCGCAGAGGAGCGGGCGGACACGGAGGCGATGCGAGGTGCGGTGGTGTGCAGAGGCGAGACCGAGGCAGTGAGAGTGTGAGTGTGTGCAGCGCGATGCTGGCGGTGGTGAGGTGTGCAGAAGGAGGAGCAGTCGCAGTGCAGTGACGACGACGACGACGAGGCGCCTTCGAGACGAGACGGAGAGACGCCGCTGGCTGGCCCGCGGCGCAAAGGCAGCGGCAGCGCGTCACAGCATGCACGCTGGCGCGCCGCCGTCGACTGCTCGCGTGCCCGCCCCCGCGGCACCGGCGCGCGGCGGCGTCGTCAGCGCGCAGCTCGGCGTCCGGCCGTTGCTGCTTGGGCATCTCGCCACTCTTCTGCCCGACATGCGTGCTCGGCCGCCTCCATCCCCTCGCAGCCGCGCTGCAAATAGCCCCTCCTCATTCATGCGCTGCGGCGACGACAGCCAGCAGCATGCAGGCAGCACGCAACCGTGCAAGCGCGGGGAGCGACATGGCAGACGCAGGACGGAGCATGCAACCCAGCGAGGGTCTGCGATGAGGGGCATCTCCGCGTCGAGTGCTGCCCTGCGCCCTGCCCCTCGCCCCTCAGACCCCTCCATCCTATTGCCACCCCTCTCGACTGCACCCTGACCGTCTCATGACGCAGCGCTCTCCGCGCTTGCTGCTGCGGCTGCACCTGCAACGACACGCGCGCCCGCAGCCGGGTCAACGACGGCCGGTCGTGTGCGGTGCACAGACGTCCCCGCAGACGTGGAGAGGTGGAGGCCCAAATCTGGCAGCGATGACGCATGTGACCAGAGTGCCGTCTCGCTCAGAGGGCTGAGGGGCAAGGCGGTGCTGCTGGCTGCACCGACAGGGTGCGAGTAGGCTGGCGGCTGCGTGCTGCTGGACGGGCATGCAAGCACTGCTGCTCAGCACACAGCAGCATGCCGCGGCAGTCTTCTCTCGAGGTGCAGAGAGGGTCCAGAGGGCTCTCAGGGCCGCGCGTAGGAGGCGTGAAGTGGTCTAAACTTGGCCTCGGCGATCAGCTCGAGGCTCTCCTGAGCCGGGGAACCACGATCAGGCACAAGCAACGGACCCCTTCTTCTGTGCCCGGAGCTCGATACGAAGGGGAGCTCCGAGGGGAAAGGGAGCAGGCCGAGGCGGTGGACGCGTGGGAAACGACACGTGACGCGCGGGCAGACGCGGGCCGCGGCGGTCGGCGCCTTGGCTGCTGCTGCCGCCTTCGCACGCAGCTCCACTTCGATCTTCTCGACCATCCCTCGCCTCCCTCTCGTCTCGTCTCAGCATGGGCGCCGCCTCCTCCTCGCCCGCGCAGGACAGCCAGAGCGTGAGTCAGGCCGGCGCTGCCGCGGCCCGGCCGCCCGCTGACTCTCCTGCAGCGCGCCTCTGCCGCGCAGGCCAAGCTGTCCGACAAGGTTGCGTCGGCCATGCCCTCCTCCTCCTCTGCGCCCTCGGCCGCCTCGTCGGCCGCGCCGAGTGCGGAGCGGCAGAGCGCGCTGGACGCGTCGGTGCGCGACAAGATCGCCGCCGAGCTGCGCACGCTCAAGAAGAACGAGAAGGACGTCGAGGCCGAGATGCGCGCGGCGCTCGAGCGCCAGGAGGCGCCCGAGAAGCAGGCGCAGGGCAAGAGTGCAGAGGCGCTGCGGCAGCAGCTGAGCGACGTGCGGGAGAAGATCGAGCGCCACAAGAGCCGGCGCGCCGGCGTCGAGGGCGAGAAGGAGGTGCAGGAGGCGCGCCAGCGGGTGCTGGAGTGCCTCAAGTGAGCGCCGGCCATGCGAGGCACTTGCCGTGCGAGGTGTGCTGACGCCGCATGCCCAGGAACCACCCGAACACGACGCTGGAGTGCGCAGAGGAGACGCAGGCGTTCAAGCGCGCCGTTGCGCGTGCCGAAAAGGTGCGTCGTGCCGGGTGCGGCGTTCAGGCGATGGCATTGCGAGGCCGGTGATGTCGATGCGGCGGCGGAGCGTGCATCTGCGGCTCGCACACATGACGACGCTCTGTCTGAAGGGGCGCTATGGATAGCAAGCAGGTCGCAGCACCTCTCGCGCCGCTATGCTGCGAGGCGGCCCTCCTTGGCGTGCATGGGCACTCGCAGAAGCACAGCTTGCGCTGTGTGGTCCGTCCAATGCTCCGAGCATCGACAGCACCGCAGATTGCGCCGCCGTGCTGGTCATTTCCTATTCGTCCTTCATATGCTGACGCCCGCATTGCCTGCAGGGCTTCATCGCCTCGCTCTCCTCGTCCGCTGCCCAGCAGGAGTCTGCCTCAGGGCGCGCGTGAGCGGGCGCACACACCTGCCGCAAGCAAAGGGAGGGATGCGATGGGAGGTTCAGGGGTGCAGGAATGACATGCTAGATGCTCTCCGACGAGCGAGATCTCGATCTCTGCCATCAAGACCGACAGAGGCGTGAGGACACTGAGCTGTGCCGCGCGAGGGCAGGCGAGGGAGGTGCATGAGACCGTAGATCGCGATCTGAGGTCGGCAACCCTGTGGCATGTGCTGTGCTTCGAGCTGGGGGTGCTTGCTCTGCATGATTCGCATCGCCAGCAGCCTCGCAGCATCGATCACAGAGCAGGCAATGGCGGTGGCATCTGTCCTCAAGGAGCGGCCAGCGTTGGACCTCAGCCAAGCATCCGTGCTGCGTCGTCACCCGCCGAATGAGGTTGTAGCGAGGCAGAACGAGCCTCATGCGAGCATGAGTTCTATGGCTGCATATTGGCTGTAATTGCTTGTGCTGTGCTCGCCCGCAGAACGAGGCAGGGGTCAGGGGGAAGAAGCGCTGCAGCCTGGGGAGCTCGTCTGCACGACGCGTCGAGGCGGGCCAGGCCGCGCTCCCACGCGCCTCCAGCGCGAGTCTTAGTGGGCACGGGGCAGCGGTGCGCATCTCCCGCCGCCGCCGCCTCGCGCCGTTCGCGCCGCTTCGTCTTCCGCTCCATCACTCCCGCTCCAGCACACAGCCACTCTTACCCACCGCGTCGCTGCGCTCCTCTCATCTCATCCTGCGCCTGCTGCGCGACTGCTCGCCCCCCCCCCCCCCCCCCGCCGGCATGTCGCACTTCGTCTCGCACAAGGGC